CAGACAGCATCTGGCACATGGAGAGATGAGCAAGGCTGTGGAAGATGGACTTTGGGGACATGTAGGACCAGGTTGGGATCCTGGCTCTGAAACCTACGTGCTATGTGACTCAGGACAAGTGACTCCACCTCTCTGGGTCTCAGTTTTCTCATCTGTCACCTGGGGATAAGAAGCATGCATATCCCATGGGGCTGTTGGGAGGACCAAATGAGTTAATTCAGTTTAATATTTTTGAGTCAAGGTCTCACTCTGTTGTCCAGGCTGGAGCATGTCAACCTTCCAGGTTCAGGTGATCCTTCCACCTCAGCCTTTGGAACTAGCTGGAACTACAGGCGTGTGCCACCATGCCTGGCTAATTTGCTTAATTTATTGTAGTGACGAGTTTTTGCTATGTTACCCACGCTGGTCTCGAACTCCCAGGCTCAAGCAGTCCTCTTGCCTCGACCTCCCAAAGTTCTAGGATTACAGGTGTGAGCCACCGCACCTGGCCAGAATGAGTTAATTTTAGAAGAGCCTGGCACAGAGTAAATGTTATGTCAGCGATCACCATTAGTGGTGTTATAGGAACTTCTAAAAGCTCTTTTTCTTCACTTAGCCGCATTTTGTGAACATTGTTCTGCACCATTAAATATTCCTTCATGATATCACTGCTGCACGTAAATGCCCTGCATTCTAATGAACCGTTGCTCTGCGTTGTGCATTTGGGCTTGTCTCTCTCTGCCTCTGACGATCAGGACTAACACGACAACAGCAGTCTGGGACTGCCTCGTTGCACAAATCACAGACAGGAAGAAACTCGGGTCACAGGAAGGAAGGGAGGCTGCATAAACGGGGCAGAAGATACCGGGGACTGGGTGCAGGGTCTCCCTTCCAGCCCTGCCTTGCGGCTTCCTGGCTGTGCAAGCTCGGCCCCCTTCAGGACCTCACTATCCTCGTCTCTGAAGTCAGTGACCAGCTCGATTTAGATCAGTGGTGGCAGGAGGGTCAGCATCTCAGGTGCAAACGGGCTGGTAGGTCCTCCTACCAAGGGAGTTGCACGAACACAATTGTGCAGGTCTTGGTTATTCACATCCGTCCTGGGCTCAGAACTGGAAACCTGTGGTGAGTCAGGTGTTTTTCATCTTTGGGCTGAATTTCCCAGGCCTTCTCCTTGAATCAGAATTTCTGAGGATGGGGCCCTGGACAAGAGACAAAAGTGATTTTGCTGCCTGCGACTCGGTATCATCTGCAGATCAGAATTTGGGAGGGAACCCTGAGATAAATTTTTTTTTTTTTTTTTGAGTTGGAGTCTCAATCCATTGCCCAGGCTGGAGTGCAGTGGCACACTCCTGGCCACCGCAGCCTTGACCTGCTGGGCTCTGGCGATCCTTCCATCTCAGGCTTCCAAGTAGCCAGAACTACAGGCGCACGTTACCACGCCCGGCTAATTATTTATTTATTGTGGAGACTAGGTCTCACCAAGTTGCCTGGGACTGGTCTCAAATCTGCGGGCTTGGGCAAGCCACTCACCTCAGCCTCCCAAAGTGCTGGGATGATAGGTTGAGCCACCGAACCTGGCCCAGAGAATAAATGTTTTTTAAGGGGCTTTTCAGTTCTGGGTTCTGTGAGACTAGAATAGGGTAGGAAGGTATGCTGAGATGGAGTTGGACAGAGCCTTGACTGCTGAGCCCAGGAGTTTGGGATGGATTCTCTCTGTGAATCCTTGAGTGCG